CACAGTCCGAGTTCCACTGAAAAAAAACGGATTTGACACAACAAACAGTAGATTCATTTCATGCGTTTGGCTGCAGCTACGAAGCATGACGATTTACATCACTGCTCTCTTCGAACATGTCAGTGATACAGACATGGGAATATCGGATTGAAGACTCGCTTGAAAACATCTTGCAGGTGAACCCACAGCAGAATATATCTTCTCGCTCCCAATCCTGCCAGTGCCACTGGAACAGGCAGAATCAATTTTATTCTAAAAAGGATTGCCCTTTGAGCACGCCTGCAAAAAATCTAAAGAGATGTCAAGTAGGTGACTCTAGAGTCTAGAGGCTTTCTCCAAATCTGCTTGACACAAATCCCGCCACAGCCACACAAGTTTGCATCATGCCTTCTCCCCGAAAGCAGGGAGCGCAGGCATGCTTTTCTGGTCGACGAAGCAGTGACCTCCCGTCCTGTGCTACGCCGCTACGCAAAACTGAGATTTGATATGACTCCTTTGACTCCGAGTTCTCTGACAACTTGGCTGGAAGAAAAGTGCAAAGAGTCCTTGCATGCTTAACATCAGAGTGACACCGCTCAGGACTAAAATTCGCCAGGAACCATTCGCGAGTTGGAGCCTTACAGGCCATTGCTAGTAGGCTGGAGGCCATTACTAGTAACAAGTAGCTACTAGGGTGGAGGCCATCGCTAGTAGGTTAGAGTTAGAGGCCATACTAGTACGCTAGACCATGCGTAGGTGGAAGGTCAAATGGATTGTAATTGGCAACAAGACTCTACAAGCAGGCGAGGCACATGCAGTTCCGATGAACAACACTCCCGTAAATTCATCTCTCCCAGAATATTCTGCAAGGCATGAGTTGGAGCTCCAGTGCACGAGCACGCCGTACTGACAACCTGCTCTCACGCTCGCGCCAAAAACATGTCGTGGTGCGAGCTGGGTGATGAAACATTATGAAACATTGTCAAAGCAATCGCAAATCACAAGCCACAAGTAACCAGCGGATGTCGCAAAGGCGTGCGGAAACGTTCTGGATCGATACCGGCACTTCCGAAGTTCCGTTCGCACCACTGAAAAGCCTTCCTCGGGGCGGGGTCAAAACATGCCAAGATCAAGTCGAGCCATGTCCAGTTCCTTGCGCCGCGCAAAACAAACAAACACGTGAATCTTTGTGCAGACCCGCTGCGGACACCCGATCCCAAAGCCGCCATTGGGCTCTTGAAGACCTTGAAACAGTCTTTGGGGTGACCGCGACCTGACCAACAGGAATTGGAACGCGAGTCCAAGGAAAGCTCTACATTCTGCGCCGATTGTTAGGACAGAAGGAAAAACGCTGAAACAAACTGTTTGTGCTAGCCCGCCTACTCACACTGGAAGCTTCTCCAGTATAAAAACGGCGATTGAACGGCATTGCCAAGCGCCCGTCGCCCGCAACGAAAGTTTCCGCTCAAACTCCCAGGCCAAACAGCTTTTAAGGAGCGCCAAGCAACAGCTGCTCTCCCTACGCCTTTAGAGAATCACAGCATTGTGATTGCTTTTCACTGTCAAGTGGCAACCTCTTCAATGTGAAATCCGGGCAAGGCTTTGCAACGCAATGCAATGATGAAATGAAACCACGGAGATGCTAGTTCGATTGCACCAAAGTGTAGATCGAAACAAATCCTTTTGTTAATGAACACATGTAAATCGACAGCCCCGAATGTTTTAGGACACCTTTCCCTTCTTCCCTTCTTCCCAACGGTCCCTCCTCATGAGAAGATTTAATGTCTTTAATTTATACAATTATCTTTTTGCCAGGGGGTCGCGCCATTGTTTTTTGACCTTAAAATGCTTTTGCCAAGGGGTTGCGCCATGGTTTTTGGGCCTTCACAATGCTGTTGCCGGGGGGTCGCGCCATGGTTTTTGGGCCTTCTAAATGCTTTTGCCGGGGGGTTGCGCCATAGTGTTCAGGCCTTCAACATGTCTTTGCCGGGTGTGTGTGCCATGGGTTTGGGGCCTTCAACATTCCTTTGCCGGGGGGGGTGCGCCAGGAGTTTGAACTATCATCAAAGCCTTGCCGGGGGGTCGCGCCATGCATTTTATCTCTAAAACCACGTCGCCGGGGGGTCGTGCCAGGGCTTTTGGTGGTTTACCATCAAAACTGCTCAAAGCAATGTTAACTTTACGGCGCCAACATCAACGTATAAGGTTATGATGTACGCTAAAGCTAGTTCTGATGACTCAGCGAAACATAAAAATTGCAAAAACAAATGCAAAACCAATCCCGAAAAAGATGCACAGAAAACGCAAAAACAAGTCACCAAAGGATGCCTTGGAATGCACAAAACAAACAAACTGCGAAAACAAATAAACCATTTGTCCACTAAACACATGCAAAAAATGCACAAAACATGCAACAAAAATGCACCAAAAAGGCACAAACAATGCAACAAACATCAACAAAAATGTAAAACAAATGCAATCAAAAAGCAAAACGAATGCGATCAAACACGTTCTGGTCTTTGTCTTTGTTTTGCTTTGTATTTGCGTTTTGTTTGCGATGTTTTTTTCATTTTTGTGCGTTTCCTTGAGAAACCGAAAAAACTCCCAAAAAATAGCACAAAACACACGCAAAAATAAAAAACAAAAACACATCGCAAAAAAAAACGCACAAACATCGAAAAACATGCACAAAAAAGGTGGTGTGTGAAATTTGGTTGTGCATGTGCATTTTTTGTGCGTTTTGTTCGTTTTTGTTTTGCGTTTTTTAACTGTTGTTTTGCTTTTTGGTTTCCTTTTGCATTTTTTGCTTTTTGATATGCACTCTTTTTGACCAGCTGCCTTATTTGTGTTCTTTTTAATGCATTTCTTTTGCATTTCCTGGTCATCATATGTGAGTTTTTTTTCTTTTTTTAAATGAATCCTTGAGATTTCAGAGTTAGGCTGTAAGGTACATCATAAGTATAAGGCGTTGATGAACTCTTTTTGGTAGCATTGGAAAGTGCTTCAACTTGACGCAGGTTAAGAAGCACGGACGCCCGCAAGGTCAATCAGACCCTGCCCATGGCGGCAACTGGCCGGTGGTCTGTGTGACGGAGACACGTATTGAAACTTTCTTTTGAGAAATCTTGATAAATCTTTGGAAGCAACAGAGGTATTTGAGATGGGTCTGTTGCTCAGGAGACATCTTTTTGAGCAAGTGCTGGTGATGAGGTTTGCTGGCTACCCTCTGAATCCTCTGTTGCCGTCCTTCTTGGAGCAAGGTCTTCTCGATTTGCCACCATGGATGCTGCAGGTGAATCTGAATTGATGCGGCCAACATATAGGGTGTTTCCGCTCGATGCCATCGTTGAAGCTCGGTTGTGGTCCAGCCCCACTCTCGAAGGTAGGTGATGGCAGCTGCCATGGGTCCACGTACATGGTACCAAGGATATGGCTGCCCTTGCAGGTGGGCTTGCAATTGTTGCCGCCCCTTTGCTTGGCCGCTTGGCCTTGTGGAACCGCTGCTTGATGACAGGGAGACGACGCCGTCGGGCAAGTCTCTCATCACCAAGGCCACAGGAGGATCTTCAGGTCCCAAGAGCTCCTGAAGTGCTCAATCAGTGGCCTTGTCAGTGGCCGCGAAAGCGGTTTTCTTTGGGCTGACCTTGAGACCAAGTCCACAACGTAGGTCCCTGTAGGCCGCAACCGTGTCCAGTGCCACTTGTTTGGGATTGGTGGCTGTTTTTTACCATTGTCCGCAATGTTTGCATCTGATGCCCTCTCTCAACTTGTCCGTCCAGATCCGATTAGAGCATTTGTCCCCCGCAAACAGTGTACGCTCTGTCGCCTTGGATGTTGTCCTCGATGCGGGAAGCCTCAACAAGGTCTTCAGGATCAGATCACAGGTCAGGGTCTGGTCTGGGTGAATGGGAATGATGAAGCCCCAGTCGAGTTCACGGTGTCCCGGGAGTTGACACAAAGTGCAGGTGGTCTTGAACCCTTCGATCGCGGGCAAAGCAAAGTCCTGACCCTGGGAGATGTCAGTGGCGGCGCCAACCAGGTGGGACACAGTGCCCACGTGATGAAGGGCAGGAAGCGTGCGAGCTGGACTTTATGGGGCTGCCAGCTTGGTTTAGTCGTGGCTTGAGCCGTGCGTGTGTAGGTAGGTATGCAGGTATGTACGTAGGTAAGTAGGTATGTCGGCAGGTAGGTAGGCAGGCAGGTAGGGAAGTAGGTAAGTAGGTAGGGGTAGGTAGGCAGGTAGGCAGGTAGGCAGGTAGGTATGTAGGTATGTAGGTATGTAGTTATGTAGGTGGGTAGGTAGGTAGGTAGGGAGGGATGGATGGATGGATGTATGTAGGTATGCGTGTATGTGTGTATGCGTGTGTATGTGTGTATGTACGCTTGCGTGCGCAACTGATCACAGATCAGAACTCCTGCTGAGATTAAATGGTTTTGACTCAAAGGCTCTACGCCGAGAAATAGGACAGGAACACAGGCACGAGGTGAAAGACACACGCGACATGGAGACAAACGCTGACGGTCTGCGTGCGCCTAGCCCGGCCTCACAACAAAATGCCAAACCTCTGCGAAACTTTCGCAAAGAAATAAACATTTATATAACGACTAGCATTTTGGCGGGTGTTGTTCGGATCGTATTCGTTGGATCGGATTTTTGGCTGCTTAGAGGCTTAGAGAAACCTCACCAAGCCATTGCGTCATGTTGCTTATATTTGCAAACCATTTGCCAATCACCCCACACTTGGAGGTTGACAAATGGCCAAAGAAAGAGCCTTTGGGCTTTGTTTTGATTCAATGCAACTTTAGCAAGTGGGAAACGCAAACCCGACTCAGCGCAGACTGAGCTATAGGAACGTGCAACCTAATAAATTTACATGCATGTATCTGGAGTCGGCATTGACCTGGCTAAGTTTGAAGCCAGGGCGCAGCACCATGATCAAGACCCAGTATATATCTGGTGTTCTTTTGCAAATCCAAGAGCGGGGAACAAACGCGCATGTCTGCATACCTCTTGCCCCCGCCTGCGCCCCGGGATTGGACCGATTTTGCGCGCCTCGGCCTCAAAACCAAGCAAGAAACGCGGACACTGACGGAACCGAGCTGGAGACGTGGGTGTGGGGCCGCCTGCCATCATCTGCGCTGCCTGGTAGCGAGTCGAGTTGAGGGGTTTCACTTGGTAGTCTTGTGGTCTTTACTTTTGGCGATTGTGCGTTACGCCCAAAAATATTTAAAACACCCTGCTTCTGACAACAGGACCAATCAGGAAATACTTTCATTCTCAAGTGGTTGAATGTTTTTTGTTTCGCTGTTACACTTACTGCAACACCTCGCCCCCAACAATCATAGGCTTGCCATTGCGCAAGTCGCAAGGCATGTTGCATTGGAGGTGCCTCACTTCTAGTCATGACTTTTTCCATCACGAGGCGTCAACCGCACCACTTCCGAGCCGAAAACGTCTCGCAATCGATCTTTACACAGGCCGACGCGCAATTTCACAGTAAAAGTGTGGGTTGCGGCCCGCGTCACCACATTTGCACCAGCGTGCTTTCCTTCCACCAACGGTACAGACTCACGGAGATGCACTTGCCACCAAGGCCGCGCAAAACCGCATGGCAAAGCGACATCACAGACGTCGTTTGGCCACAAGGTATGCAACACACTAAACACAACAATGTACCATTAAGCGCCGCGCCGCAAATCATCCCGCTCCCTCGCGACATACCGAATGTACACCAGCATGTCATCTCCTACTTCCCTCACTGGCGCGGACTTGCGGAAACGCACTTTCCACCGAGGCCGCGCAAAACCGAATGGCGCAGGGGCATCAGTGACATCATTTGGCCACACGGCGCACAACAGACTAGATACGACAAGTAGCATTAAGCGTCGCGAATTTACGCCAGCGTGCGTTCCTTCCCCCAGTCGCGCAGCCTTGCAGAAACGCACTTTCCACCGAGGCCGTGCAAAACCGAATGGCGCAGGGACATCAGCGTTTGGCCACACGGCGCGCAACCGACTAGATACGACAAGTAGCATTAAGCATCGCGCGCGACACGCCGAATTTACGCCAGCGTGTTCTTTCCCCCAGTCGCACAGCCTTGCAGAAACGCACTTTCCACCGAGGCCGGGCAAAACCGCGTCAGCGACGCTGCAATTACAAACGTCATTCGCCCGCACGGTCGGCGAAACAGACTAAGTGTAACCGTATAAAATCCAGTGTCGCCCGCGCCGCCAATCACCCCGCTCCCCCACGATGCGCCGAATCTAGACTAGCGTGCCTTCCTCCTTCCCCCATGGCGCGGCCTTGCAGGAACGCATTTTCCAGCGAGGCAGCGCAAAACCGCGTGGCGCAGCGACATCGCTGACATCATGTGGCTGCCCAGCGCGCGACAGACTATAGATACAACAACGCGGCAGAACGAAGCGCGGACGCCCCCAATCATCCCGCTCCCCCGCGACGCGCCGAATTTACACCAGCGTGTTTTCCTTCCGCCAGTGGCATGGGCTCGCGGAAGCACGCTTTCAACCGAGGCCGCGCAAAACCGAATGGCACAGCGGCGTCGACGTCATGTGGCCACACGGCGCGCCGCGTTTAAATTATAGACACAACAATGCAACACCAAGCGTCGCGCACGCAGCCAATCATCCTGCTCCCAGCAACACGCCACCTGTACACCCGGGTCCTTCCCTGAATGGCGCGTGCTCACGCAAACGCACCAAGCTGCTTGCCATGTGCGCTGCAAAGTTGCCAATTCTGAGGCCACACCCAGTTCCGAGACCAGCTCCGAGGAGCCTTTCCACGCTAGATTTGCGCTACCTAGTGGCCAGTTCTGAGGCCACAGCCCCCAGAAGCCGCTTCCGACATTACGTGTGCGCTACAAAGTTTCCATTTCTACTACAGTTGCCATTCTCGACGACACTTACTTTAGCAACTTCCACCTTAGTTTTCGACGACAGTAACACACCTTGGCAACTTCCACCTTGATTTTCAACGGCGCTGTTACACACTTGGCAACATCCCTTTTCGTTTTCGATGACAGTTGTAGACACACTTACTTTACCTTGATTTTTGACAACGGCTACACATCGTGGCAATTTAGGCCACCTTCGTTTTCGACCACAGTTACACATTTGGCAACTCCCACCATCATTTTCGACAACTTTACACAATTTGGCACTTTGGCAACATCCACCTTCGCTTCGACGACAGTTATGCGCTTTGGCAACATCCTCCTCACTTTGGCAACGTCGACCTCCGTTGTTGACGACAGTTACGCGCTTGTGGGCAACGTCCATCTTGGTTTTTGAGGACAGCTCACACACTTTGGCAACAACCCTCGCTTTTGAAGACAGTTACACACTTTGGCAATGTCCACTTTCGTTTTCGACGACAGCTTGTTGTAGTAGTAGTAGTAGTGGTGGTGGTGGTAGTAGTAGTAGTACTAGTAGTAGTAATGGTAGTGGTAGTAGTAGTAGTAGCAGTAGTAGTAGTAGCAGGAGTAGTAGTAGTAGTAGTTGTTGTTGTTGTTGTTGTCGTAGTCTGGTACTAGTACTAGTACTTGTAGCGCTTGCAGAAGAAGTAGTAGTAGTCGTCGTCGTCATCGTCGTCGTCCTCGTCAGGAGTCTATAAGATCTTTTGGAGTTTCGCAAGGAGCAAAAGTCAACTGGTTGAGAAGGGTGGGGCAAATGGACATGAACCAAACACACATCATATAGAGCTTGCAATGGGAACTCGAATCATGAGCCGCGCGTTGAAAGTGAGCGTTGTGGTTTAGACTTCGGTTTCCTTTCATGTGGGTATGGTTGCCGATATCATTGTTACTAGCGTGGCTTTATCATTTGGTGTTTACGCCTTCATTTTTGGTTCATTTCAGCCATGGTTCTTCATTCTCAGCATTTTGCATTACAGCAGTTGGTTTTGTGTTAGTTTGTGAAATGAAAGCAAATGAAGAGATCAGGTATAGATGGAAAAACACACGAACAAATACTGAAAGAACACATCGGGGCATCGGTTGACAAACAACGCCACTACAGCGCAAACTGGCGAGCAAGCTGGACACTAGTTTGGGTCGTTGGTCGCCGCTCAAACTGCCCTGGGCACCAAACCAAACGCTCGTGGCTTCACTTCAAATTACAAATATAGCCTCTGAGCACGGACTTGTTCGAGCATGGGTAGAAGTTCAGTTGAGAAACTTCCGTAGTTGCGAATGTGTAGCGAATAAAAAAAAATAAATATATAAATATAAATATGTATATATGTGCGCACATACATACATACATGCATGCGTGCGTGCATGCATACATCAGGCAACAGTTCGCGCACACCGCGAGCTACGTTCAATGAAGAGTCAGCGTAGAGAGGTCAGTGGCTATAGCGCAGCGCTAGCTAAGTCCCCGAGCTAGCGTAAACAGTCGCCAAGTAAAGAGCTAGCCAGGCGTAGGCAATAGCTAAGTGAAGAAGGGAAGTTCAAGAGGTAGCGTGGACAGTAGCTAGGTGAAGAACTGCCAAAGTGTATTACTGTCGTCGAAAATCAAAGTGGAAGCCACAACACATTGTCGTCGGAAATCAATCTGGCTTTTGCTACAGTGTGCAACTGCAACTGCCATCGAAAATCAAGGTGCGCACGGCTAAGTTAAAATGAATGCGCGCGCCAACGGTTGTGAAAGCTAGCTATGTTTCGGCACGGTGCACCGATGTTTCGGCGCGGTTTCGCAGCGCGCTGCATGGCTGGGCATAGCTTTGGTTGCAAACTGGAAGTTTCCAAAGCGTGTAACTATCGTCAAAGATCAAGGTGGAGGTTGCCAAAATGGGCACCTGGCGTCGAAAATCAAAGTGGAAGCTGCTATAGCGTCCAACTGCCGAAAATCAAGGCGGAAGTTGCCAAATGGTGTAACTGTCGTCGACATCAAAGTGGAAGTTGCCCAAGTGTCTAACAGTCGTCGAAAATCAAAGTGGAAGTTGCCAATGTGTGTAACTGTCATCGAATATCGGATACGGGTACAATTATGCACTACGGGAAACTGTGGTTCTGGGCGCTCAGAACTCACAACTTTGCAGGGCAAACCTAGTGTGAGAAGCAGCTTCAGCTCTGGGCTCAGAACTGGGAATTTTGTGGACTGTGAGAAGCAGCTTCTTGAACTTTGGGCAACCTCCGCGCTCAGACTGGCAACTTCGGGGCGCGCAGCTTCTGGGAGCTCTGAACTCTGGGCTCAGAACCGGCAATGTTGTCATAAGAAGAAGCAGCTTCTGGGAGCTGTGGGATCAGGACTGGCAAGTTTGAGCTATGTAGCTTCCCCCTATGCGCGCAAAGACATTTTCCACCAAGGCAATTTCTGCTGTGTGGTGTCACATGGCTGCAGCTAGTGTAAAACACAGCGTGGCAAAATTACGTTCATGCTGTCACTGTGACATGCGGATTGGCGCGGCCTTGGTGGAAAGAAAGTGGGGTTCCGTGGCCCCGTGCCATTGGGGGAAGGGAAGCATGTGTGCGCTTTAAGTGCAGCGTGTCGCTGGTGAGTGGGATGATTGGCGGCGTCAACAATCCTTGATGTCACGTGATTACCTCTAGGGCTTGGTTGACCACACATGCACAAAGGCCAAAGGCAAAAAACAAACTGAACTTCGTCTTCCTACAGTTTTTTGTTGTTTGAAACCTCCACCCTTAGCTTGTCAAAATCACTCGTATAAACCAAAGCAGTTCCAATCAAGCCAGAGCTTCAGAAGGAAATTCAGGAGGCGGTTTCACCCAGGTAGTTTGCCGCGTGACAGCATGGTAGTAGTAGACCTGCCAAGGCTGATCAAATTGTTTCACGACATCGCCGCGTGTTTCTGATCTCTCGCCTGCCCCTCTTTCGTGCGAGCTTCTTTCCACGGGCTGTCCTGCAGGTTGCCAAGAAATGCACCCACCTTAATCCGCATGGTAATCAATAGTCCTGATCGTTGGTGCTCCGCACTTTTCCAAAAAGACCTTCACCAAGAGCCTCAAGACTCAAAATGCTTGACTACGTGCCACGCCACGTGTTTGTCACAATTGTGTTTCCAGGCCGCGTCAATCAAGGCGTTGCCACCAAGAAAAGGCTTGCCATCTAAACGATCTCGCGAGGCCTGACACCGTGATCTTTGCAAATTTTAAGACAACTCCTGCTTATTGCGCTGATGAACTTTTCCATTCGGCAACTGCCACTGTCGCTCGTACAAGCACCTAATCATCCGTCTTGACTCCGGATTGACGCTTTTTAGGCGAACATCGGTCGCGCACCTTCAGCAACTAAATGCGTTGACTTGTGTGCTCCCTTCATCCCAAAGAGCGGCAACTCCATGAAGGACAACAACATTCCAGGTCGTTGCTGCGGTTTGAAAAAATTGTTCAAATCTCTTTGGTGGTCTACCCTGTGCATCAACCAAACTGTAGACACAAGCTACATAGGAAATGAGATGTTGTCCATCAACCAGAAACTAGGAAAGCGTCAGTCAAGTTTGCAAATAGTATGAGAGGACCAAAGTGGTTGCCGCTGAACTGCAAAACCGATCAATACCAACACTTCAATTACCTGGGAATTTGTGGGGTGCAAAAGTTTCCGCCAGCACCGTGCTGAGGACGCCAGAACTCGACACGGCCGTGTTGGCCGCGTGGCAAAAACAATGCAAAATGGCATTGTCACGAGACCCAACTTCAAGGAGGAAACTGGCAGCCAGAACACCTAAGCTTTGCCAAGGATTCATGGATCAAATAATTGCAAGTTCTGGCGCTCCATCCCACCTGACGCATGCAGCCGCAGCCGTGATGCCGGCGCTGACGGCATCCTTTTTTGTATTTAGGAAAACTGATAACTATAACAACTACTACTTCTTGCGCGACTAAAAGTTTCTTCATCAGAGAGCGACCTCTGCTGCAGCAACACTTCTCCTGGATGTCCTTCCTGGTTACATCGTCCGTAAGATGTCCCTCGGCTTTTTTGCATGTTGCAAAGCAATGACTGTTGCCAATGACCCGCAACACAAAACTCGGGCAAACCACGCAAGCTTAACTCAGGAAACAATTGGAACGCATGTAAATATTGAAGGTTACGAACGATGAAGCGTGCTCTCACCCCCGCACTCTTAGTAAGTTCATGTCCATCACGAACTGTTCCCAGACAGGAGAACATCAGTTGGAAGTTTGAGCACTGTTGGAGCACAAATATCTGTACTGCTACTGATACTGATAGTGACACTGATACTGATACTGATACTACTACTACTACTGCTACTACTGCTACTACTACTACCACTACCACTACTTCCACTTCCACTTCCACTTCCACCTCCACTTCTACTTCTACTACTACTACTACTACTACTACTACTCCTACTCCTACTGCGACTGCGACTGCGACTGCGACTGCCACTACGACTACGACTACGACTACGACGCCGACGACGACGACGACTACTACTACGTCGACGACGACGACGACTACTACTAACTACTAACTACTAAAAATAAAAGGACCGGATAACCCCACACGATAAGTTTTACAAATTTCAGTTGTATATGAACATCACATGGGAGACGGAGTAGTGAGATGAAAAGTCAAGAACGAAGTGTTAGGAGAGAAGGTATATGAGGCGGTTGTGCTAAGTATAAGTGATGATGTGATGGACGAGGATGAGAAGGAGGGGAGGGAGGAGGTGTGTGTGATGTGATGAACAAGGATGAGAGGGACGAGAGAGAGAGAGAGAGAGAGAAGGAGGCGGAGAGAGAAGTTTGGAGGCTCTGGATTTTGCGATCAGATCCGCATGAGACCTTCAAAACGTAACACGCTCGAAACGACCATCAAAGCTATCAAGTGGTCTTATCCCGACCACGGCGGGCAGTGCTAGCAGGAGTGAGTGAGTGGAGTGAGTGAGTGGAGTGAGTGAGTGAGTGAGTGAGTGAGTGAGTGGAGTGAGTGGAGTGAGTGGAGTGAGTGGAGTGAGTGGAGTGAGTGGAGTGAGTGAGGTGAGTGAGGTGAGTGAGTGAGTGAGTGAGTGAGTGAGTACAATGGCAGTAGCGCACACGACTGCAGGCGGGCCCAGCGGCGACTCCGCGCGCCGCAGCCCCTTCTAGGGGCTCTGGAGAGAGCCGTTGCTATGCAAATCACAATGGCAGTAGCGCATACGACCGCAGGGGGGCCCAGCGGCGACTCCGCGCGCCGCAGCCCCTTCTAGAGGCTCTGGAAAGAGCCGTTGCTATGCAAATCACAATGGCAGTAGCGCACACGACCGCAGGGGGGCCCAGCGGCGACTCCGCGCGCCGCAGCCCCTTCTAGAGGCTCTGGAGAGAGCCGTTGCTATGCAAATCACAATGGCAGTAGCGCACGCGACCGCAGGGGGGCCCAGCGCCAACTCCGCGCGCCGCAGCCCCTTCTAGAGGCTCTGGAGAGAGCCGTTG